ACACTTAGACTGCCAAAATTGGCTGTTTAGTTGCTTTTCAGGGCAGGAGGAGCGTGAAGATGACCTTCATCTCCGTGTTCCTCCTGCTCTGCATAGGATGACTGTAGCCTGCTGAGTGTGGAGAGCTCTGGGCATTTGCACCCTGAGTACTTTACTTTGGTGTAGATTTTTATTGGAAACTAGCTTGGGAGTCAATTGTGGCAGAAAAGCCAAATAGAATTAACACAGACGTAAATATGTTCAGTGTTTAAACACAGAAATTAAGCACAAGAAAAACATCCATCCAGGCTGCCGACATGTCCCATGAAAGGTTGCTGCTAAAACGGGTGTTAACACCATAAATTGCAAATCAGAGAGCACCTTACACAACCAATATCCAGGCTGGCGGTAGGACAAGAGAACAGAGCGGTACTATTTTGACAGCCTCCGGCCACAAACTCCGGTGCAGAAACTTCAGGGGCTACATGCAACTGCAGATGCATCGATAGATAGATAGATAGATAAGTAGATATTGGACGGAGGAATGGATGGATAGATGGGTGGATATTGCATAGATAAATGTGAAGAGAAACTGCTTTATACCATGTCACTGCAGAGCACCCAAACTGCAAGCCCTTTAAACAAATGACAGAGAAGAAGGATCGGGAAGTCCTCAGAGATCTAAACACCCCCAAAGCACAAGTTGTGTGTCAGACCTCCTAGGAGACAAAGCCCACTGAAGGCCACCATGGGTGTCATGGAAACACAGCAGAGCTGCCAAGGAGCATGTGTCCCTGAATTGCCTGCCTACATTGAGACATGAGGCAAATGTCCCCTTGCTTCATTGCCTCTGCGAAGTCAGCCTGATGCTTATAAATTACCATTGTGAGGAAAACTGCTTGGAATGGAATGGAATGGAATGGAATGGAATGGAATGGAATGGAATGGAGAGAGGGGGGCGGAATCCTTACAACTCCCAGCTTTCCCCCTACTTCCAAAGACTGGCTTTGAAAGGTCAGATGAACTGCAACAAGGTGCAACCTCAGCGTAAGACTTCACTGGCTGATTGCTGCACTGTTTCAAGAGGAAATTCAACAGTAATTTGGGACAAGGAATGGCCAATTGAGGGCTTCCAAACTTTAAGCAGTTTAATCAAGTCAGTTAAACATTTGTTCTCAGTTGTGCATGTGTGTGTGAGTAAAACTATAAAGAGGGTCTCAGTATCTTAATGTTAAACCCCTTTTATGTAAAACTTATTAATCTTCCAAGTGTTGGGAGGTTAGCAGCCTTTCTACAACCTAAGTCCATGCCAAATGACCCACAGTGCACAGGAGTGAACCCACATGTTGGCTTTACAAAGGCCTGCAGGAAATCATAATATTAGGAAGGAGTTTAATCTAAACATCTCCTATTGTACCCTTTTCTGGTAACTGGTAATTGCCTTAGAAAAGCCCTGTGGAAGGACTCAAACATGCGGACCTCCTTTGGCTGCTGAAAACAATGAAGAGCAGAAGGCTAAACAACATGCATTTTCTGGTGCAGCCTCCCCCATCTTGGTGCCCTTCAGAAGTTTTGGACTTCAGCCCCCATCACCCCAGGCCAGCTTGAACAGTGGTCGGGGATGCTGGGAGTTGTGGTTCTAGACCTTGAGAGGGCATTCAGTTGGGAAAAGGGTTTCGGTCACGTAACCATCCTAGACTGTACCCCTTCAGAAGGGCTTGCTGTGCTAACGGACCATGCAGTTCTGTGAAGCACATCCCATCCAAGCTGTGATGCTGCTGTATCGAGTTCACAGACGTCTTGGCAAAGCTGCTCATGTATCTTCTTCCAAATACTTCTGATACTGTAACTGGCCACTGACATCACTTCCATTAACTTGCTATTGCTCAACTTGAAATATAAAGCACAGATTCCATTAAGACCGACTTCCAGTAGGGCCAGAAGAATGTTGTTGTTACGTGACATCACGTTGTCCCCGAGTTAGGGCCACCCTATGAATGAATGCCCTCGGAAAGGTGCCAGTAAGTTGATCAACTGTTTACCTAGAACAATTTGATTGCACTTCACCAGTGGCTGAGAAGAAGTTGCTATAAATAACGTCATCAAATATGAGATACTGGCATGTTTATCTTGAGAAGCCCTTGTCCTGTATCAAATGAACTTTCCAAGTGACTTCATGTTCACAGAAAAGCTTCTGTTCTACTTGAGAACCTTTCCAGATTTGTTCAGAGAATCTCTCTCCCTGCAGTCCTGTGGATTCCTAATAAAAGTCTGATGGGTTCCTAATTCCCAATCAGGATTCCTAATAAAAGTCTAACAAAAATAACTGTTGAGATTTCTTGGTACTGGAGTTTTTTTCATACTGTACCAGGGTGACTTGTCAGTACACAGATACCAGTGGGAGAAGGAAGCTGAAAATGGTTTAAGGTGTCACTCTTGGATTAGGGAGAATTTTGTTTTTGTGTTCATTTGATTTACCTTATTTTGCAGTTTTGAACCAATACGGGAAATGAAACGCAAGTTATCCTCTGAAATGTTCACCAAATTTTGCAATGGAGTTCTCCAATCAAAAATGTGTACAAAAAGGCATGTATTAAAGTGTGCAAAAAACTATGCATACTGGTGCAAAGAACATGTAATATGCATTATTAGAAAATCACTTGCAGCACATGTATTTCAAGCAAAATTATATGTAAAATGTATGCAAGAAATTCAAGACAAAACTGCATTTGAATTTTCATGCAAAACTTTCTTTCCTTTCAAAAGGCAGTCAAGATGGACTGAACTTTATATAGGAAAAGGAAGAAACCAAGACTGAGTTTCAGCCATCCCCGTCTTGGATATATTCAAAAAAACTGTGGAAAATACATCGCTGAAGAGCATTACATTTGGGTTTTTAAATATTCTGCAACAAGTACAAATTTCAGCTTGTTCATCATTCCTCATTTGCACCTTTTGCAATGTACTTAGGACAATCCACAGTTAATAGTCACTTAGTATATGCAGCCATTACCCTGGCCAGATACACACAAGAGCAGCTTCTGATAAATATTCATACAAGCCATGAGGGCAAGGGGTGAGGACTAGCACAACTCTGCTTCCCCCATCACAAGATGTTCAAACAAATCAGAGGTGACCATCCTGTAGTTGTTGGCACGGCCTATTTATGGACCTTTGCTCTCGCTTGCCAACCCTTCCCCTCAAAACCTGTCTTGTGCCATGTGTCTCTTCCTGCCTTCTCTACTTGCATGTTTTTGCGTTCTAGCATACTAGATTCCACCCTAAACTCAATCTTGCCATGACTTGCCTTAAAATGCTGAAACTGGAAGAGAAGGAAGTCAACCGTTAACAATCTTATTTTGTCTCCAGAATCCAAAAACAGAAGAGGTGGCAAAGGTTTTGTGAGCAGCTGGACTTTGCTGGTATTGACGATTCACAGGATTAGGGTATCAGGCCCAAAGTAGAAGAACCCTCTCAAGGCCTCAGGGAGAAGACATGGAAGCTGCATTGTAATACGGGGGGAGGACAAGTTTTGTCCCTCCAGATACCTTGGCCTGTAACTTTGCACCAATGGCTATGCTTGCTAGGGCTGATGAGAGTTCTGGTCCAAAGATATGAAGGGCTGCAGGTTGCCCAGTCCTGTCTGTCTGTCTGTCCGGGCCAGTGTTGTCTGATCTGATTGGCAATGGCTCTCCTTATCGTATACTATCCTGGCTTTTCAAAACTTTCAGATGCTTTGTACAACTGTTGTACAATGGTTAAAAATGGTACACCACCTAATGGTTAAAAATGCTCCTAGCTGTGGGCCAAAAAGAGGGCACCAGGCTGGGGAAGGCTGTTACCTTATCCCATTAACTGGAAATGCCAGTGATGGAAACTGGAATCTCTTACAAGTACCAGGAACACCAAGCTTTACCAGTTGCAAGGAACCGTGGAAGTGCCTCCCTGTCCTCGCTTCTAGACAAGCATTTTGTTGGCCACCGTGAGAAGCAAGATGCTGGGCTAGCTGGCTTCTGCTGTGCTCTAGTAGAGCTTTTGTCCTAGTCTAGTATGGCTTTCCTCAAGCTACAGTGGAGATTGTTGTTGTTCTAATAGGTGCCTCCAATAGGTGGCAAGTCAAAGGGACAGAAAAAAAGAGCTTGAATAGAATAGGGTTTCTTCTTGAAAAAAGGAGAAAATTGTGGGAGACTGAGAAGAGAGACAACTGGAAAGGTCACACTAACTACTCACAGATGGCTCTGTGAAAACCTGGATCCATTGCTGGCTCTAGTATTTGGGGTGCAGGGAAAGGGGAAGAATATTAAAAGCTGGGAGGATTACAACAACATAACACTCAGAGAATCCTTATAAAAAGATGGGAAACTTCTGAAGATTAGTTTTGCAACAAGTGCCTCCTCAATCTAGGACTATTTAACCTCTTGAGGGTCAATTAACCTGGTTGGTGAAATAACACAAACATAGAAAACAGGCTGCATAAATTTGTAGTGGAGCATGCAGGAGTTTTGTAAATGGGAGAGCTAAAAAATACAGTAGTTAGTATTTTTTAATTATTAGCAATCAGAACAAGTAATTCTAAATCAAAATTTCCTTCTCACCCTGTATTGGCAATGGGAAGCCTGCTTTTGTCATAGACAGCCCTTTCTTCACTATGGGCTAATGTGATTTACTTGTATATATTTGCATATGCTTGTAACTGGGGCTTGGGGAACATGTTGAGTATGCCAGCTAAACTCCTGGGGGTCCTTCCAAGTCCAAATTGTAAGGGCCCAAGGAACTGGAATAGCAGAAGGCCTCTGAAAAGCACACTCACTATTTGAAATGTTATGGACAATAAGGAAAATAATTTTATTAGGCTTTGGGAAACAGCAGCATTGCAAAGCCATTTTTTAAAATTAAAAACTTACAATAAAGCAGAAATGAAATTTAAGATACCCTTCTAAGTTGCATTGGGAAAATGGACAAAGCACCGTACCCATCACTCCAAATATTTGAGCGTAGAGTGGAAAAAAGTTTCAACGGCCAACATTGTTATAAAATGCTTTAATAAATAGTTTTCTTCCGAAAGCTATAGAAGAACATGTCAAACAAAATGTACTGCACAGAAGTTCCTGCAAAGCAATTCCTGCATTCATGTATAAAATTAAAGTGGTTTCAAAAACATTCAGGATTACATTTGTGTGGCCAAAACATTGAGAAACCTCATTTTCTTTTGCAATTATAGGTCAGCTAAGTTATGTAAGGTTTGTTTTTCCCAGTAATTAAAATAGAAGATACAGCTCATTTTTTTTTAATAATAATAGCCTTTAAACCCTGCCCTCCACAAATAATGCACAAGCCTTCCATTATGAGTAACAGTTTTTTGTGAGGTGTTCCATCTTCTATGATGGAACCAGATGTTGTGATAGATCTATGGCTGAAAGAAGTGGTCCTGCTTCGTGTTCTCCTTCCTAGCATCTGGGATGACATGACACCAATGTGCCACACGTTTATCCACCCCCACAAGCAGCAGCCAGTGAAATGTAGCAGAGGCAGGGAAACTCAGTGTGGTGGCACCATCACATTGAAGATTTTTCCCCCCTGCACATTTGGGCAGACAGCAGGCCTACAATTCTCAGCATGGCCCATGGGTGGGGCTGACAGGAAAAGCTGTAGGCCTTTCCTCTGCCCAAGCATGCATAGGATTGCAACATAACTGACATTAAAGGAAAGCGAGGAAGAGACACAAGGCTGCCATTTTGCACAGTAGTCAAGGGTCTGCTGTCATACTGAGTTCCAGTCTTAATCTTGTCAACCTTTCTTCCAAAGAAGTGAATAAGCATAACAGAAACAAGAAATGAGAAAAATATTGTTCCCTTCATTAGGCCTGTATTAAAAAAATGCAAAAAAGCAATACCACATGTAAAGAGACATTCACAAAAGGAAAAAAAGAGAACTATTGCCTTGTCATCTTTATACTGTACAGTATACTTTCTGCATTCTTGAGATGTGAAGAAACAATTGATCTATTTACATGTGAAATGGTTGCAATACATTGAAAAAGTACAAAAAAGTTACTAACAGATTCCCAACATTGATTGTATTAACATCATTTTCTACTATGGACATAATACCAAAATAAGTTTTTGTATTTTTGTATTTTTTTAGAAACTGCCATAAAACTTCCCTTTCTGTGACATAAATTAAAAAGGAATGACGTTTAAAAAGACCAAAAATACTTTTAAGTTATTAACTCAAATATACAGAAATGATTCATTTAAATATGTACATATTTACAAAAAATGCACTCGCATAATCTGAAAATAAACTGTGTCAGTCTATGCACTGTGTCATCCTCACATGGTAAACCAAGATGGGCATGGCAGTCTTTGACAGTTGCTATAGAAAAAGAAAACCAAAATGTCAAGGCACTTGGCATGTGCTTCAATACTGCAATTCTAAGGTAATTAAAACAAATTTACATATTCAAATTAAAAAGGCCACTTTTCCAACCACAGTATGAAAGATCTCTATAGATTTTCTTTACGTTCCAGAATTAAAAAAAATAAGGCAAATTTTTTGGGGGAAGAAACTTGCAAAAGTTAACAGCAGGGAGCAGCTTCTAGTAAGGTGAGCCTTATTTTTCATTTAGGTTCAGCAACTACCTCAACCAGGAGGTTTTTTTAAGCCACTGTTGTAACAGGTTAAAGGAACCCATTCTGTAAACAGTATAGTCTTGTATGATAAACTTTATGAAATAATTGAAAATACAAACATTCCTCCTCTGCTACACAGCAAGTGTATTCTAAGTAAAATTTACAAAAATAGCAACTATCAAAGATTACTTGATCATCTGACAGTCATTGAATAATTTATACAAGGCTAAAAGAAACAAAATAAAGTTTTTATTTATTTTAATTTTTTTATTCAAAATAAAGTAACTATGAACATTTGACTCCAGATAATTAAGTCTTTGATGCAAAGCTGAGATGCCAATTTTTCCAGCTTCATCATTCAACATATACAGTGCTACCATGGTCCAAACCCAGGTTTAGTCTCTTCCACCTTCAAGGTTTGTTGTGTTCACATTTTTTATAGATCTGTTGTCCATTTTGGTTGTCTGAAGAGATTTCTTAATAGGACTATTCTCTAACGAGTCCACTGCCTTTGTTGACAAGGGCTTAGACAGTTTGTGAGAGAGGAATTTGTCCATTTCCATAACCTCTTTTTCCTCCTCCTCCTCTTCTCCCTCCTCATACTCCATGTACTCTTCTACCCCGTCGTAAGTTCTTTTTTGAGGAGATATAAAAATTTTGTGTTCATACTGAATGCCTTTTTGACTATAAGGTCTGTCTATTGGATTCCATATGGGATTCAGAGGTGCCCACTGATTATTTGTGGCCTCTTCTCTGGATGGACGATTTCTCTCTCGCTCTTTTCTTCTCTTTCGTGTCCACCACACACAGATTATTATACAAGTTAACCATACAATACTAAAAACTGCACAGAGGATCGGAACCAGATAATCTAGAAAACAAGCCAACACACAGGTTAGTGAGCAACTGCTACTTCCCACAGAATGGAATGGATGTTTGACTCAAGTTCCTGAATGTCTGTAGAAATGCCTGTTGCAATAGACACTGATGATCATTAGCTACTTTTCAACTGAGTTTTTTTTTTTTAAAGTTGAGCCAGTTTCAGCCATGTAAAGATACAGACTGAGGGAAACATAATGCAATGAATCTTGTTTCAAACACCACATGTGTACCTTACTTCTAAAAAGTTGTCCTTTGAAATGGAACTCGCTTTCATATTAAGCGTGTGTCTCAGTTTACCAAAGTGACAAAACAAAACTGAAAAACCAAAACCAAAACACAGAAAACTACTGGTACAATTGCCCAAGGAAATAAATGTATCTTATTCAGTAATACAAAACAAATACAGAGGAACTCGAAACTCTCTGAATGGCTTTATTAGGGTCAGAACCAATCTAAAGCAAACAAACAGAAAAGGAGACTTCCCTCTGCAGGTGTCACATGTGCCTGGCATTGCAGCAGCAGGCAGCCACATTAGGCAGAGGCAGCCAGAACAGCCTTACAGAGACAGGGACCGAGATCACTCCTTTGAGCCACATGCCCCTTGTTCCAAGAACAGTGGCTGAAATTTTATCCCATCGCTGCTGCTCACAGGAACAAGGCTGGAACATAATATTAGGTATCATGATTCTTTACTGAGCTTTCCCTGCTCCCACTTACACAATGCAGCCGCTGAATTTGAAGTGGAAAACCAGCTGGAGGGGGAGGAGAGGATCTTAACACTTTCTTTGTGCAATATTTTTTCTGCTGATAATCACCTGTCCTCCAGGTGATATTTTTCCCAGCAGGTGCAAAAGCAGTTCAGGGAGACTGTTTTTCAGTAGAAAAACTGCACAAAAGGAAGGAGCTAGGAAGTATCCCCACCGATCTTCAACTTCCAAGTTACAACCTCAACAGCTGCCTTGTATAAAATACAGAATACAATCCAAAACATGACTCACAAATGGAACATGCTGGTGAAGATCTCTTGTGAATGAATGACTCACACACACACACTCACCTGATGAAGAAGAATTGCCAACTACTATGGTCTCTATTTTGACTTCGGTTACAGCTAGCATAACTGTGCTGTTTTGTCGCTTTGTAATGGCATTTACTATAGTGTTAGCGGCATTCTGAATGAGGCTGTTATCAGACTCATCTTGATGCGAGATGAAAGACTAGGAATAGAAGACAGGTAGGAAACATAAACCCAAGTAATCACTTTTTTGTATTAGCCATTTAGATGATCAGACTGAAGTCTTAGAACTTGAGAATACCAATTCATCGTTAAAGCAGTGGTGCTGTTTTGAAGCCACAATATATTGGGTGGTATCCTGCACCCTCCCTGTCCATTAGAATTCACAAAATTGTACATTAAGTTAAACATAGCAACTTCCATGGCATTTAGACAACTGAGCTAAACTTAGTTGTGGTTTGTAGGCTACAGAGATATTATCAGACATTTGCACTAATGATATAATCTGTTATATATAACTGTGTGCTTCCTTCAGTTTGCATCATAGCTAGGAGCATTCTTCAGTTGTACGAGTAAGCAAAGATAGCCTGGCTAAGAATAACTGGCCAATACTACACCTTTTGGCACGCAAACCTCTCCCCAGCCACAACAACTGTGTGGCAGTCAGCAGCCTTAGCAAGCCCTTTCTAAACTCCTTTTGTAGCTTCCAAGCTGAACTCATCTTACCTTTCTAGCTAAGGGTATCTAAGGGATGCTAGATAACCCAGTTTTGACATGAGCTATGCAGTGGGAGCAGCCTACTGCCAAGAACTACCAACACTAAAAAAGACTGTTCTTTAGTGTTCAGTTAAGAGCAACTGCTTACTTCCTGGGAAGGTCAAGGAGCTAACAGAAACTGAATTTGGAACAGCAACTTTAGTTTGCTCATATATACTCTATGGCAACTCCATGTTATCCTCTCTCTTCCCTTGTCTTAGCTATGAAGTAAGGAAGGGCTTTCAGAGATGAGCAGGTTTAGTTTTTTTTTTTTTAATCATAACTTCAGCTTATCTTCTCCATGGAGTAAGAACATCATGTGACTGCTCCAATGACTCTTCTGCCTTGGCCCCTATTTATCTGCAGGACTGAAACAGGTGTGGGGAAGAACCATGAAACCACCGCCTAGCTGCTGCTCTTGCTTAAAGAAAAAAAGGTGGAGGGCTGCCTGAATTCTGGTGAAAGCAACACCACTAGAGAGCAATGATTACACCTCCCCCATCAATCTAAACAGCTTCCCTCAAATTTCTATAAACTCCAACATTGGGGGCATATAATGCACACACAGAGGCACCAGTGCTTTTTAAGCAGTCTGAGGTTACTTCTTTGAGGGGGAGGATTCAACATCTCTTCCAATAACATCATTAGTCCATCAAAATTGGATCCTCTCAAAGCTGCTTTCAATATTCTCTCTATCATCCTTTGGAAAACAGAAGTAAGGTTCATCATGGGTTTCTTTGCCCTTGCTTTGGTTCTAAATCATTTTTGATTCCCAGAAAAAGTCAGAATTCGAAGGTAGGTTTGTAAACATCACAGCTGGTCTGCTACATGAAAAACAATGCCTCAGGAGATGCTCTATTTCTAAAGAAAGAGGCAGTAGCCTTCCCCTCTTCTTACACTGCAGCATAGCACACATTTTTTAAAAAAATTTGTGCCAACACTTCTGTCCTGCCTTTCTGCCTCAAATACAGGCATAGAAGGGAGCCTTAGTCAATATTTTTAATAGCAAAAGAAGACAAAGTATCTTCTACATACCACAGGTACTCATCCCTCTCTTACAAAACTACATTTTCAGCTGAATGAAGGCCTTTTGTTGACTTTTATCTAATGGAAGAGTCTACCCTATTCTTCCTCTGGCTCATGCCTCACACATCTAATTCTGCCACTGTGCTTATTTCTTGACCCAACTTCAATTTCCACTATTGGGTGGTCCACAAATGTAGTTAAAAGAATAAACCAGTCCACTGATGGCAAACTCATAATCCAAATCACATCCTCAGTACTTCCCACAGGCAGACTTGTAGGCTTGTCCCGGTCAAGACCACTACAGTTCTGCAGAGACTAAAAGTTTCTGTATTTAGAAGGAAATGTAATACTTACAACAGCAACTTCCACTGCATTCTCTATGGAGTACGATAGATCACACAACACTAGCAATATTCTCTCACCAGAAACAGATCTAGTGGCTGGTAAATATCTGATTTCAGAGCAAATATTTTCTACAGTAGTGCCCTGTGAGAAGGAAAACAGACCAGTCCTTTTTAGAATGGGGAATAGAAATTAAAGGGTACAGTGATTTCAGAACAATTGACAAATACTATGCTACACTTCACAATAACACAGAAAAGAGACTTCCTCTGGCTGGCTCATCACCACATGACACACAGGCAGGCACACATAAGGGAGAGTGGAAACATAACAGCCCTGTTTCAAGGTTCAGCAGTCTAACTGGCTCATCCTGTGTTCCACTGGAACATCTTTTCTTCTCATGGATAAGAGACAGGCAAACACCTGAAATTTACTACATCTTCAGAGAAATTAAAGAAATATTTAATTTCTTCAATATTTAATGAAGAGCCAAATGAGAGGACTAGGTTCTGTTCCCATGACTCTAAATACCACTTAGGGATTCTCCTGCTGCCCCCAAACACCAAGTTTAATTTTGATGTAGAGTGATGTAGGTGTGTAAGTGCACACCTTTTAATGTCCTATGACATAAATTTTCGCTCTGCTAAATCACTGGTTACAATGGCAATGCTGTGTACTACACAGAAATCAGGTTTGCAAGTTATGAGGGTGGGTGATAAGCTGTAGTGGCTTGTTAACTACCCTTGTGCATTCCAATCATGCGCAAGCTAATTTTCCTAATTGCTCTTGCCAGGCATGAGTTGCTACAACAGCTGAACCTGCTAAGGGTGGCTTGTTAGGTGGTTAGCAAGCCACTTGAAACCCACAGCTTACTGTAAACTATACCAACAAACCACCATCATTAGGTTTGGATTAGGGAAGTAGGAGAGTTCCATGGGTCAGGGAGGGGTGTGGGACTCAGAATTTTGGTTTGGTCCTGTAAATTTTTTCAATTTCTTCTCTTCTGCTGCCATTAACTTGAAGTATAGTGAGCGAGCCAATATATGAATGCTGTTTTGTTTTTTAAATCGTCACTTTTTTGGAACCTTGAAATCAGCACAAATGATGTTGTAATGGGGGGTGGTATTTAGCAATCTTGCACAATTGCACATGATCTCAAGCCTGTCTGTCTGCTAGATAGCACTGAAGAGGCTATGAACAAGTTCCACTTCTGAGAAAACAGGAATTAATTGTTAAGTTTAATTTGTATGGAAGTCAGATCATGCATATTTGTTTCCCCACAAATGTGGGGGGTCGGGGTGCAGGACCTAGGTGAAACTGGAAAAATTGCAAATATCCCCTCCCCACAAACTCACCAGCACCTCTTCTTCGCAACAAGGAAACGCTGGAGAAATTTCCCTCTCTGGATGGGCAGGGCAGGAAGGCATGCTTTGTAGGCCTCCCTCTTTCCCCTTTTGCTTCCTCTCTCTCTCTAGGGTGATGACCATTTTCCACAGTAATTTTTAAAAATTAATAGGCTTTATGACAGTTCATTTGTAAATCCAGGTTGTTCGTAACTTGAATGTTCATAACCCAGGTGAAACTATCAAGATGCATCAACAAGACTTAAAATTCTTACCTGGGGTACTTTGTCTCTGTTAAAAATCAAAGTAATTCTTGCACAACTATTGTCCAAGTAGCCTGAATTTGGGGGACACTTGATGTTAACAGGCAGAGGTTCTGATTCACTGCATTCTCCCCAGTCAGCACAAGGTGGTTGGAAACATTTGATGTAAGCATTTCCTTGGCATTCTTGACCTCTAGGACACTGGTAGCTAGCCTGGTCCGCATGTGTGGTAAACAAACAGGATTTCCTCCCACACCACACCTAGAATTCAACGAAGAGCTATTGATATTAGTGTGAAATCATTAGCAAAGATGCAAAAGAGATGGCTGAAATTGACTACCATTATTTCTAGCTCAAACAAGAGCTAGTCTTCCTGCAGTTACTGTGTTGTTGATAGCTAATCCTTTACAACGAGTTGCTCACAATTCAACTTTATGGAAAAGACTGATTATTTTTGTTATGCAGCAGCCTTTTGGCTGTAAAGAGATTGAGATTGTCTAGGAAATACCAAGTAAACAAGACACAAAGTTAAACAGAATTCCTTACACAACTGAAATATGTCCACATGGTACCTCTATAAAAATGCTTAAATTCTAAATACAAGGCACTCAACTATTCCCATGTTGCCTGCTAAGTTTATATCAGTAGTTGGAAAAAAACAAAAGACCCCTGTCCCATCTTAAGATCTGGGGTAAGGAATGCCAGAAATGCTTTTCCATCCATCCATAGACTGCTAGCTCCTTCTCTGTCTGGATTATGGAAATATTATGCATTTGAGCAGTATATCTTTTTTAGAGACTTGTTCAAGCATAAGATGACATTCAATTGATGGAAGTTCCAATTAAATCAATCAATTACTTTGAAGTAGTGGACCTCATACTTTCCCTGGCCCTGAACCTGACTGCAGGAGAACCTAACCAGGTCATTGTGTCCACCCCAATGCAATAATCAGAGGACAGGTTTTAGTATTAACTTTTCTGATTTCTAGACAAAACTACTTGGGGAGAACAACATTTGCTGAAGTTTTCCTTATTTTACGTTAAAAACATTTCTAAGCATGAAATATATTTCACATGTAACGTGGGCAGCTAGTTCTCAATGAAGCTGTATCATCAAGATGCTTCAGAGCAGCTTTGCCAGACTGACTCTCCTCAGATATTTTGTACCTCAACTCCCCACAGCTCCAGCAAGTAGAGGAGAACTGCTACATCTGTTGATTCAGCAACTGTGTTCTTGCTTAACCACAGCTGACCAGGGCGATAAATGTCAGGTGTTTGAGAACTGCACGCAGGGACCTATGGGTGGCAAGTGGGTACCTGAGGGCAGTGGGTGGCAAAATAAACTTAAAGCCACATGTGCCTTCTGAACCTTGTGGTAGAAGCTCCCATGTGGGGTGATGGGGAACAGGCGCTTGGGATGAGGCCTGTTGATGGGGCAGGAGAGAGGAGGGCCAAGCTAAGGGTTGGTCTTGGCTGACAGGTGCAGATTTATAGAAGCAGCAGAGTAGCGAGCAGGATGCCAGCCCTTCTGGCGCAGCTGGCACTTTCTAGGCTTGCAGTGCAATGTCTCATTTTGCCTAGTTCATAAATTAAACTTTATCACAGGTATTTACAGCATATACAATGCAGTGTTTGCTACTATCCATGGTTTCAGGTGTCTACTAGCGGGGCTTAGGACTGGGACCTATCCCTGTGAATATGGAGGTTCTGCTGTACTTCCAGTTTGCAGATGAAGCATATTGTCAACAAAAACAAATAAGAGGACACAGGCTAGGGAAGGTTGCTACAAAAGTACATGATTAATCAAGTTGGAGTAGGAATACTGTGAGGACTGAGTATTTTGAAGGAAGGGACATTTAGGTGCAAATTTAGCATCCAAGCCAACAAATTACCTTGGTGCAGTCAATGTGGCCATTCAGACAGTGGCAGCTGTTACATTCTTGATGCCATCTACTGCCATGGGGAAAGGATGTTCCTTTAAACCAACAAGACTTTCCAAAACCTATAACTAGGGGTGGGGGGGGGGGGGGGGGGGAGAAGAGGAAGACAAAGGAGTAATTTAACTTAAGTATGGGACCAATCTAAGAAAGAGAGCATCAGGCTCAATTTACAGCTAATCCACAGCATATACTGCAGTGTAGAAGACAAGGAACTTGAAAAGGTATTGGATGCTGATCTTGGTTTAAAGCTTTAAGTTACCTTCTTGGCATCTAGATCCAGCTCGTCCAGGAGGGCAAGTGCACCTGTACCCATTTATTTCATCAATACAAGTAGCACCATAGGCACAGGGTGAAGACTGACATTCATCAATATCTGAAAAGAAGAGGAAAAAACCTACTTGTTTTCATGGTTAGTGTGAAAACTTCTACAATTCTTGGCTGCAATATATCCCAAGACCCCAAGTCCCATTAAATGGGGTTTATACATTGGTTAACTTGTACTGAATGGCACATGTACACTGAGAGAACAATACTTGCAACAGTTAAAGCCATTATTTGTCATCATCATAATTTTTAAAGAACATTTTTACTACCAGTATTCAAGTCCAAAAACTCAATATTTTTGCCACCCAATCATCTGCTTTAACCATTATAAGCTTCTATTATTTTCTTTATATCCTAGACAACATTGGTTATTCTTAGATTATAAAGCTAAATGAATGGTTAGCAAAACCATTGGAAAAAGGCTACAGCTGGACATGGATGACTTCAATACCAAAAGCCGGCCTCAGGATGCTAGACATCCTGCCCATAAAACTGAGAGAAAAATGTGGCGCTACATTGGCCCTGATCCAGGAAAAACACCGATGTTTTCATTAGTCACAACCAGTCAGTCTCACTGATTCTACCCAGGGAACTTCTGCTTTTGGGCAGTATGGAAACAAACAAACATTACACTGGGAATATTCTGTGTCTCCTCTCAGAGGAATTCCATTGAGTACCTATTTTCATTGAGACTGTTCTACTGAGTCAGCAAGACTTGGGGATTGCATCTGTGTTTCTGCAAAATCAGCAGTCAAGACAGTTAAAACTCAACATTATGCTAGCACAGCTGCTCCCAGCCTGGTGCCCTCTAAATGCACTACAGCTCCCATCAGCCACAGTCAGCATGCCCAGTGGTCAGAAATGTCAGCAGTTGTCAGTCCAAACCATCTGGAAGGCACCAGGTTGGGCAAGGTGGTTATGCTTCTGTATGCAACTCGCAGCAAAGTCCTGTTTCAAGGCATATAGCTTGCAAACCTACAACTTACTTCCAGCCCAAATGCTGGACATCTCTCCCTTGGTTCATTCTTCTGGCAACAAATCCAGATTTCCATACATTTCTTTTCCTGAATGGAGCTTCCTTAACAGTACTTGGAGGAACATTATTGCTCTTCTCACCCACCCTCAAGTTCTGCTCTGAAGGGTTGGGAGACGTTTAGGAACAGATTTTGATGGGGCATAGGGGGTAGTGGGGGATGGGGGGAGCAGGCCATCCCCTCACATAATGTTGGATTCTGCTCCTTTACTAAAGCAATTATCCTGGACTCTTCAAAATGGTTTTCAAGGGAAGAAAATCTTGGGAGTTTGCCACTGTGATCCTCCCCCACTCTGAGCTTTGCATGCATCATTTTAAAGGAGAAATCCATTTCCACTATGGCTTTAGAATAAACACGACTCTGAATATTTATAATCCATGAATTAATAATATTGTGGAAGAGTTATCAGAAGCATCTTGTCAGCGGAGCTAAAAAAAACATACCTAAACATTCTAGCAATGTTACTGAACATCCCATGAAAAGGGCATGCTATTCAAACTTCCTCAAAGACTTGGGGACAGGTTATACCATATTCAACCCCTACACTTACTAGAAGGTAGTTAATTCTAAATCTTGCAACATAAGAGTTAATCTTGCAATGTAAGAGTTTCTTCCCCTTCCTCTTCCTCCTGTAGTTCCCCAGATCTGCTCCAGAGAATCACTGAACCCCCCTGAGATCTGGAGGGTATGCTTAAGAAGGGAGACTACAGATAATTAGGTCTGCTAGTGGCATCCATTCAGCTAGCACAATGACACTAATGAATACCAACCACTTTCTTTGCACCATATATGTAAATACAAAAGATCTATGTATAGTATTGGCATTACACCTTTTAAGAATCACAAGCTTGCCAAAACAAATGTGCTTCAAATTAGAGTGTACAGCTTAAATACAATTTTAACTAAGTTCCTATAGTTGCATTTGTCTAGTGAAGAAATGGATTTGCTCCTACAACAGGGAGATCACCATTCTTTATAAGGTCAGTATTTTCTTTATTTATTAAACTTATATTCCACTAAATTGGCCTGGAGGCCCTCTAAGTGGATAAAGGGTATCAAAAACTATGAATAATTTAGTTAGGTCACATCTAACAAAGCAGAAACTAAGTGTCTAGGTTAACAGCATGTCCTTCTTAGTGCTTTCCCAATGGAGGTACTTACTAATTCTGCAGTCTGGACCAGCAAACCCAGGCGCACATTCACAGCGAAACCAATTCACACCGTCAACACAGATGCCTCCATTGTAACTGTAAAAATAACAAATCTATCCATGAAGACTACCAGTGTAGTTTTGTAAGCTGAGAAATAACTCTGTTTTTTGCTGAAACTAGCTGTTTTAATGTAAATTTATTTGTATTTTCTCACTAGTTGGCAATGTAGAATTCAGTATGCCTATTTAATATACCATGTGTAATTGTCTTGAGTTTTTCAGTTAAAACTGGTAAATCTTCTTCAGTGGCACAGAGAGGCTTACTGTTATTCATAGAAGAAGGCTATCAAGGATAACAATAAGCTGGATAACAGCTTTCACTTAAACTGCCCATTTTATCAAAGTGGAGAGAAACTGCAGGTAAATGCTGAAAAAGTTTTAGGAGGCTACAGGAAGAACTGTAAAACAGACTTCTGGCCAATTATTTTAAAATGGACAAGAGGTAGCTTTAGAAATGAAAACAAAATCTAGGTTAATAGACATATTCTGGATCCAACTGTCTGCATTAGATTTTACATCACACAAGGGCATCAAGTTTCAATACCTCATGATTGCAGAACTTCTGAAAGCAACTGCACATATACAAAAAGTGCACATACGCACAAATTCTATAGTGATTAAAGATTATGGAAAACATTTTCTGGAATGTTTTGTTATGTGTACATAACATATTCTAAAGTCTCATCATTATACGTGAGGTAAGAGTACTGAAGAATCAGGGCCAGACTGTTCAAGAGGATGACCTCAAGCGGGGTTTCTACACATTCTGGAAGGGACCTTTTTATTTACCCATCATTTTAATAATTAAATCAATAATTTAAATGAAATCAACAACATTTTACACAGTCACATTTTCTTTTTTTCAGTTCGAATTGTTATTTTTGTTAGTTTTGAGTTGTTCTTACCAAATGTTTTAATTGTATTTTATATTATTATTTAATCTTTTGTAAGCCATCTTGAGGCCTGTGCAAAGGACAGGGTAAAAATGTTTTAAATAAAATAAATAAAGTAGTCAAGTAAGTTACATCAGATGACAGATATGCTTTTCAGTCCTTAAAATGTTATGATTAGTAAAAAATGAACATAGGGATCTTGGAGATACATTAGGCTCTACCAAATATATTACAAAATCTTTGTGCACTGTTATTTGCATGTCAGAAATACCTACTGCCAATATTGTAAAGCTTTCTATTTTGTGATTGCCTTGCCACTTCCTTTTCTTCTTTGAAACACAGATGCCAATACCTAGAACTTACTAGTTTCACTGGCTTTAGGAGGATTATTTAGGTATTATTTCTTTGGGCAAACTGTCTTCATAGAACCCATGCAACCACAAATCTTCTATTACCATCACTAAGCAAAAATCAAACTCCATGGGAGCATCCATTGACACAGCAGGTAAATTGCAAATAAATACAAGAAACATTCATTTAGTAAGACCTGCAACACTGTTAAGGAAAGAGGGAATATGAAGCCTTGATTTAAGGGATTGTTTGCATTTAACCACTGCATTAGGACATGTTGAAAAAGAATAATAATTGTGTACTTACCATGGATGTGGATTGCAGTCATTAATGTCTAAACAGAGAAGAGTAAAATGTATTTGACATGGAACTTGATTAAGCAGACTCACGAATACTTAATAACTAAGACATGTATGCTGGACCTTTTCATGTACAAAGTCTGTCTCCTGTTCAACTTCACTGGCAACAGCAACTCTGCAGTCAACCCATATATACAGGAGCACTGACATGGAATGGCCAGGTGATTTCAGCTAAATCCCCAAATATTGCTGAGCTTCATTATTTCTCTAAAATCAGAGGTTATGTCTCTTTTTTTACCAAAATGAATGAGTAGAGGAAGGGAGCAAAAACCACCCTCTCCCATGGCTTTCTTCTCCTAGACAGGCTTACTTCCAGCAATTGGCTGCACTTGGGTAAAATGGCTTCAGATACCTGAACATGGCAAGGTAAGACAGGGAGGTGCTTGCATTTCAATGCAGACAGGGTATATGGGAAGAGGAAGGGGAGAATGAGTAATATTTAAGCTTGCCAAGATTATCCAAACTTCTGCTAGCTGTTTACCTCTCTTTGATTCATGCTCACATTTACATTCACTGTTTCTTTTGAGCGAACAAAAAAATTGTGCAAAATAAACAGCTAGCTGATAGGATATTGCACAAACATCTTTGCCATATAAACTAAAATGCAGATGATTTTAAATGTGTACACTTCGCAAAAGTTGCATATTTTAGGTACATATTTTGTAAATGTGACTTTTTAGGGATTTGTGATAGTAAATTCCTGGACATCTTTAGAAGGGAAATTTTATTTATATTCATCACACTTCTATACTGTGCAATAAGCAAGATCTCTGGGTGGTTCACAACCATTAGTACTCCAACACAACTGGAGGGCAACAAGCTCGAGGAAGCTTAACGCTGCAGTAGTTGTGACAGCACTCACACAATTTAGTAACTATGTGAATGCATTCTTTGATGTTTTGCTGAAAACAGGCTGGGACTCGAAAGGAGTATTTTGCTCCTTGCTACAAGTTCTTATCCAGACTGGGTTCTCCCATGCGTTCTACTTACTCTAAAAGATCGTATAAGCTAATTGGGGTCACATCCACTTTGGCACTAAGGCACAACATGGAAATTTTATGTGGAAACGCTGTAATCCAATTAAGATTCCTTGTTTCTGGAAAAAGATATACTATTTCACTGCTTTAAATATATCAATGTTGGCACTGAAAATATTTGCTTATTGATTTGATTAGATTAAAGGCCACTCATTAGCATCATGCTCTCTGGGTGGCCATTACAATAATATTATCTAAAATAATGTAATTAAAATAAAATAGCTAACATAACATATACATAATCAACAATAATAAAACTTAAGTTAGTAAAGTAAAACTGGTGCAAGTTGATGTACAAATAATCTAAGTGGTGCCACAAATGTGCTGGAAAAGAAAAGTTTTAGTCACATGTCTAAAACTGAGCAGAGCAGGCACCTAAAGAATCTCTACAGTAATGCATTCCAAACTTGCTTAAGACTGGCTGAACTATTATCCCAGAAAAATGTCACTAAATATGTTCTGCTGCAGGCTCTATGGGACTGTCTCATAGGTGTTGCAAATAAATGTTAGAATGATCAACTTCTTCAAAAAGAGGACTGAGAAGTACTGTGTATACAGATCAGTCTTTTAAAAGAAATTCATGTGAACCCCAAAGCTTCTTGTCTCCAGCACAGAAAACCCAAAAGGACACATTCTCCCTGCTTTGCCTGCAAATCCGAAGGATGAGTCTTTCCTGTTTTAGCTTTGTCTAGTGATGACAGAAAGGAAACTCACTCCAAATTCATTAACATTCTTTTCCCTGGTTTCCTGTGGTTGCACCCATCACCTGCCTACGCCCCACAGCCTTGTTGGCTCCTAACTGGCATAAATCCTTCAATGCTCTAATTCCCCTCTCCTGGGTTAAATCATCCTGGAGAAAGGGAGTCCATTAACTATGTTATGCTGTCTCTCCAAGGATACCCCTTTTTCCTCTAACAGTGCTGTTGGCATTATGTAAATCAGTTTAGGATAGGATTGTTTAAGTACTGTTTTTCATCCTCTCCTGCTTATTTCTTCAGGTCTACTGATTTTAAACAAACAATTAGTATTAACTCACCCTTTTACCCAGCCCACATATATGTCCTACTGATTTGGGCCTAAGATATTCTGGAATACACTACAAGTTTTGAAGGTGAAGGAAGCGGAGTCCCTGGCTAGCAAGAATCTGAAGGGTTTGCTGAAAGCATTTATTTTCCCAATTTAATATAAATGATAAGTTCTGTGCTTTTTTCTCACAAAGACCTACATGTTATTAAAGGAGGAAATGGTGTCTGCCCACTTGCACAAAAAGCAACAAAGCATGTTCAAACTTGGTCCACTCTAAAGGCTAGGCCAAGGTAAAAAGGCCTTCATATGGCAGTCACTTTTAGAAATACAGGAGATACATAATATATCAGTGGGGGGATCATAAATCTATTTCTAAGAAATGGACTTTCAGGTTCCTTTTCTAGAAATATGCCATACAAGTCTTTTATAACTTTTCTAAATATCCCCAAGTTATTTCCCACTTTATTTCTATGTGTGTGGTTACATTTTTAACAATCCCCCAATTGAGAAAGAAAACAGTTTAAAATGCTCTGGAGTATCTGCTGAATCAATGATAGCAAAAAATAAATTTGCAGGTACCAAGGAACACTCCCCCACATAATTCCCCAACAGTATCTACCACCTTTTAAACAATAGCCCGCCCTTCTTCCTGCAACCATTTCAGGTAGAAGAGAGCAATCATCACAATTTACAATGAATGGAATTAACAACTTAACCAAGACAGATGCTATTAAAGATAATTTCAAAGCAGAATTAAGGATTTAGTCTAGATGTAACATTCTGTGCATGTTCTATCTTGAGCCACTAACTGAAATTCAGCCACACCTAAGAAAATCAGTATATCGGTATGCTAGTAAAATCCCCAATGCAATACACTTAGGGAAGCTATTCTAAGATGACATATAGCACAGTCTCTGCAAATCTTGTAATGCAGACTTACTATGCTAAGCATTTCTGTCCTACCAGTGAACCATATTCTGAAGTTCAGGCATTTATAACTCTTAGTCTAACATAAAGAAGAAAGCATACTTACTCTGAGTGCAAGTACGCCCTTCCCAACCTTCTTTACAAATGCAAGAAAAGGAATCTCCACTGCCAATGCAAGTTCCACCATTCAAACAAGGGCTAGGAATACAGCTGCTGTTCTTAGCTTAAATAGAGGAAAAAATGTTTTCAAAGCAAGGGATTTGGACATGAAAATTCAGCTGACCTCAACTATGAATCTTATTAAAAACAAATTAATCTCAACTTTTAAGTTTTTAATCTGACATTAGAACAAAACAATAAAGAAAACAAAAATAATTAATTACCAGCTGAACTCATGGCAAAAGTCTGCCCCTTCCCTGTTACCTAAGCCATATTTCCACTTATACATAGTAATGTAACTAAGCATTCTCCTCACTGTCTTTATTATCGTATGTCAACATGGTTTTGAGTTAGTTTTATCCAAGAAAATGACTTAGAGTAAGCAAATTCAATCTGCTGTAGATGGGGTTGCACTCTCCTTGAAGGAAGAGGTTGGAGCTTTGGGTGCCCCTTAAGCTACCTTTGTCACTTGAGGCTCAGGCAGGTTCAGTGGCTCAGAAGGCCTTCCACCAGCTCCAACTGGTGACTCAGCTATACCCTGATTTGGACAGAGATCTATGCTAAACTAGATTATTGCAATGCACTTTACATGGGGCTGCCCTTGAAAACCGTTTGGAAGCTGTAGCTTGTGCAAAACATGACAGCCACACTAATAACAAGGACCAGGCAGCTGGATCATAGAACAACAATTCTGGTCCACTTGCACTGGCTGCCTATATGCTTCTGAGCCCAATCCAAGGTGCTGGTTTTAACCTATAAAGCCTTACATGGCTTGGAAGCATGGTAATTGATGAGACACCACCCCTGACTTTCATCTACCCAGATACTATGATCAATTTCTGGGGTCTGTTTCCAACTGAGGGAGGCTCAGTTGGTGGCAACAAGGAGAAGGGCCTTTTCAGTGGTGGCCCTCCAACTGTGGAATGAGCTCCCCACTGAGACCTGCCTGGTGCCAACTTTACAATGTTTCTGGAGCCAGGTAAAGACTGTCTGCTTCTACAGGGAATTTCAATTAGTCTACTGGGGCTTGCTAGTTGATAAAGAGCTAGATTTAAGCTTTTTTTCAAGATTTTTGTTTTTATTATGTTTTAATATGATGCATTTTAGATTATATTTTAACTGTGCTTTTGCAAACTGCCCAGAGAGCATCAGCTATTGGGCAGTATAGGAAAATAAACAAACAAATGCTTAAAAAAAATCCCAATTTCCTCACTCAGTCTGTCAAAACTGGTTTTAATTTTACATCAAAGTAGCTCACTTAGACATAAACAAATATAAACAAAACCCTTTCCTCTACAGACCATTACAAAGTAAGCATGCTTTCTCCAGACCACTAAATGAGGCAGAGAAAAGACAAAACACAGATTGCTTGTAATTATCCTATTGAGCAAGGTAGCTGTATCCAAATCTGAAACCAAACCAGCCACCCATTACTGAGCAGATTAAGTGCTTACCAATGTTGCAAGTGCTTCCTTTCCACTCTGGAGGACAAGAACATCTAAAAGTATCACCATCATCATAGCACGTCCCTCCATTGGTACATGTATTTGCATCACACTGGTACTCACCTAAAGGTCATGAAGACAAATCTGAGTAGCTGATCACATATACTTTTTTTTTATTTTAGGAGTTAGTGCTGGATTTGTGCATTAAATAGGAAAGGGTACACTACTGTGGTATTGTACAGACCCAACTTCCTGGGTGTTTTGAGCAAAGGTGCTGTGGCACAATTGGGTAGCATACAAATGTTATAAATAAATAAATACAAGCAAGGGGCTTTTCTGGGTAGCCTGGGGTTAAAACAAACCACACAAGCAAATACATTACAAGTAAATTACCTAATTATTACCTGTGAAAGATTTTTAAAATTCGAAAGGGCAGTTCAAACTTTTGTAGGATAATACTATCAGAAGCTTTAAACTCTTCATTTTGATATTACAAGGTCATTTCAAACTCATGAAAGTCATTCAACATGTTGTGCCAAATTTTGAAAGAAGGCAGACAATTATTTGACTTGTTTGTCCACAACTTCCTTCATCAAATCAACTGTGCAATACTTCAGCATTTCCTTTCCAACTTCTGATTATTTTAAGTAACACACCACCACCCAGAACACACTCACTTGAATGACATGTTTTTCCTTTCCAGCCATCAGTACATTCACAGTAAAAGTCATTCTCTAAATCGATGCATCTGCCTCCGTTGTGACATGGATTTGGAGAGCAGTCATTAACATCTAAAAAATTCAAAAATAAAATACCTTAGCAACAGATGTACAGGTTTTCAAAGAAAACTACTACAAGACAGAGAATAATCTCATCTGCTGAAATTGCAGAAGCAGCTGAAGACTGGCTTTATAATCATTTAATCATAAGAAACATCTAACAAGCCAAGTTGAGCTGTATGCCACTAGTCTTTGATCTGGTTTCAAATTTTACCTTAGCAGTAGACTGCTTTGGGCAGTCACACTCATGTTCTGGCCTTCCAACTATTAGCCACCAAACCACAGGAAGACAATTTTGCTTAAAGCCATGAAATATATGGGACCAACTAAATTAGAGACCCATTGATTTAAAAGGACTCAACTATTTCTAGATCAAAGCATCATTCTGCCTCACAAAGGCATTGTGAAGACATAACAGATGAGAGTGCAAAGGATTTTAATACCTAAACACATGGGACAGCCATAAAGCCATGATTCTGGAAACATGGTACACTTCTGCTACCCTGTGAATTACATGGGAAGACTTCTGCTTCACATGCAGAAGATGAGAGGTTGAATTCCTACCCTCTTGCAATACTAATGGATTTAACTTCTGTCTGGAACAGTGGAGGGCCACTAACACTCAGTGGACACAACACTCGTCTACACAGACCAATCGATTGACAATTCCTTTTAAGATCATGCACTCTGGACCTTTGACAGATAAAAACAAATTAATCCAGCTTTAAGAATTAAGGATACAATCCTAAATATAATTCCCTCAACTAATCATCAAATAATGCCTGTGTAAAACAGACTTATGACTGGGTTGCAAGTGAGGATAAGACCCTTTAGCTACTGCCACCATGCTAACATATAATTATACTCACTGTTGTCACACAGTTTTCCTTCCCAGCCACTCCGGCAGAAACATCTGAAATTGTTGACCTCATCTATGCAAGTCCCACCATTCTTGCAAGGATCTCCAAGACAGTCGTTGATATCTTAAGAACAACAATGTACAATTTATTTATTGCAATAAAGTAAAACACACCATGACTGTGTGTACAACTAAAATGTTGTGAAAAAGCTTTGGAGATGCTCCTCTTGTTTCAAGATAAAACTGGACAGATTTATGAAAGACTGAAATGTGAATTACTCTTTTGCTTTGTTTGGGGATATAGAGCTATTCTTCTGAGTGTTCAGTTTCCATCTAACTTAGGAAGGTTCTATTACCATCACAGAAGCAAAAGAAACTCTCCCACTTAAAGATGGGAGTATCATACTGGACAGGATTCCTGCTTTGGTGACCTCTTTAAGGAACATCTAGCCTATGGCTATCACTTCTATGAGCAACCTGGACTTTGCTTTATCAAGCTACTCCTTGTCTGTCCGGGCATTTCTAATATCACAAGTCTGGATCACTCCATCCAGCTTTCTGTAATTTAGAAAATATGGGTCAATTTGTAGGTGAATCATATAGATTAGAATAAGGCTTGTCAGACTAGCTAGTGGGCTTGGTTTTTCACCAAGTAAAACCAGATACAAAATAGCTACATGAGGGGAGATGGTGCCTCAATGCCTATATGTGCTCAGCCCAGGAATTTGTTTTCATACTTTAAAGTTCTGTATATACATGAAATGTCCTGGTTTTTCCACAAGCTCCTTTGGTTACGAGAATCTTTTTGATGCTGTTAAGTTACTGGAAATGGGAAACTTTTGCCAATCTATAAGAAGTTAGGCAAAAGATCTACCAATAATCATCCAAAGATCAGTCTATGTGCCTACCCGGAGGCAGGGGAGGGCATTAAACTACAGGGCCTTCTGTTATTTTCTACACTCACAAGTTATGTTCACCTTGAATATCGTAAGCAGTCATTTGAGTGTGAATTGCCTAAGTGGTACCCATACACTACTTTAAAGCAGGAATGAGCATCTGAGGGAGTTATTAACCCCCACAGACTGCATCCCCCTTTTCACAGCACCATTTTCAAACAAGCTAACTTTGACCTTTTCAGCACCCCATAGCTGCTAAAGAGGCAATTGGCCCGGGGGAGGGGGGTTGGGGGGGCTGGTTTTCAACTATGAACAGCTTAAAGAAGAACAGCTTCCTGTAAACATCTCCCCAAGTGATCATTGTCCAATGGACCTTTCCATAGATCATGAATGAGCAGCCATCATTTAATGGTTTGCATTACATCATGCTTGATAAGACACCTGCTCATTTCCTGCAAATGCAGTTATTCATAGAAACTGTCAGCCATGACCAAGCTTTGCATCTTGTACCAATGACCTAGCTCTCAATCCCATTAGGTACCTAAATTCTCACCCTAAATAGTTTAAAGGTAATGTTCTTTAAGTCAAGTCTAAGCTTTAGTACGTTCTTTTTAATAAAACAGTTTTCTTCTACTTACTTTCATGGCAGTACATTCCAGTAAAGCCCTCCTCACAGGCACAAGTGAAATTGCCTCCTGCTTGACTGACACATTGTCCATGAGGCCCACACACACTGGAGGAGATTAAGCGGATGCCTTTTTGGGTAGCATTCGTGAAGACTTCTATTGTACAGCTGTCTATTACTAAGAATAAGATAGGACAGGTTTAAAATGCAAACATAAAACCTACATATTGGGTAGAAGTCCAGTATTGAAAAGAGTGGCTTTTTAGTTCTTGGTGCATGGATATTCATTTAATATTTAAATTTTACTAATATTTTGGAGAAAAAAACTTAGGCATTTTATCATAACTTTCTTATGCTAAAAGATGCATATTATATACAAAGTGTTAGCAAGCAGATTTGATCATGTAATCTAGATTAGGCCATGTGATAAAAACACACAGCAGCTTTATTTAAGGGGTAGGTGAAGAAAAGGCTATGTACACCCCACACATTTATTTTGCTCAAGAGGCCTGATAAGCTATAGTTTTTTCTTTCATCATTTGGTTCTTGTCTGTTCGTCATACCAATTTAAAAAATTGATCACATGATCATTTCTGTTGCAATGCACATGCACATTCCCAGATGGCTTTTAAGTACTTCTGTATTATAAAGCAGACATTTTAGAGGACAGGAGATTACCTTTACAAGAATTATTTTTACAGTGGTCCTTGAGATGAGAGCAGTTCTTTCCATCATAGTCATCAGAGCAAGCACAATAATAATCTTCCCTCAGATCATAACATTTAGCACCATTTTGGCAAGGGTTAGGCTTGCAGAGATCAATATTAATCTGCAAAAGGTTTAGACAACATTGGTTGAATTGTTCTAAAATATGCCAACAGGAAATGTTGCAGATTCAGAAGGCTAACACTTGTCATAAGATACCTCAGCTTTACAAATTAGCTGTGTATGCTCAGGAATGGATTTCAGTGACAGGTGTATTCTGAAATCCAGCTTGTTCCTATTTAAATCAGAGCAGCAGAACTCAAATCCCTAGGAGCTTTTGAATATTCCAGGAGAGGTACTGCCTTAAACACACACACACATCGAGAGCAAGGATTGTTTTTAACCCATTCCATTAACTCCCTTGTCTACTTTGCAACCTCTACTGTGCTCTCTTCTTTCTTCTCTCCACACCAGACCAGGTCTTAAAGCTGGTATGCAATTTCTCTGAACAAGTCACAAGGCAGATATGAAACAAAGTTTGCCTGTAGAATTCATGGCAGCTCACAAGTCCCCCTCACCAGCCTTTACCAGGCAAATGTAACACAGATAAAATCCATTTAGTAATTCAAAGACACATATTTGGCAGAACTCCCAAGAAACCTACTCTATGTACAAGTACCTTCTGTGCAAGATCACATATTGTTTTAAAGTAAAGTGCTGAAGTAGCCTTTGGAGAACTTAGCAGGGGATTGAATCTTCCAAGTACTTTAGAATGCTTATGTTACAAACACAAACAGGCTTTTAAAGTACTCTCTCCCATGCAAAAAGCTGCATATGTATTTGGAATGTGTCTCATTTTAAGAACTGGATACAACCCTTCCATTTGCTCATCAGCTACTTGAGGTTTTTTTTTTTTTAAGGAACCCTTCTATATCTTTTCTTTTGTCCATATGCAGCAAGCAGGTTTTGCAGTTTAGGTTCCATGAATGTGCACATTTAAACAAGGTGGTTTAGAGCTGATTTGTTACCATCATGATGATGAAAGTGCCAAATTTAAACAAGACTTGTACCATGTAAACCTTTACACAGACAAATCCTTTTAAGGAAGCAGCTAATCTCAATACAGTTGCTTTGTGTCAACTACGTTTGCTTTAAAGTAACATCTACCTGTCAGCAGGGGAGACACAGCATAACCATGGCATCTATCGGATAAAGATTCGCTACTTTGGGGGATGGGTGAGTGAAAGAGAGACACATTCACTATCATTTTCCCTATGGCTTAGACCTTCAATGTTATTTTGGAGTTGAAACAGCCTCCAGCCTCCCCTGGATTTAAAACTATTCTTTTTTTAAAGAGGGAAGCTATGAAAAAAGTTGAGAGAATTCTCTTAGCCCTATCAGGCATCCCCCATTTGTTTCCTTCTATTGGTGCAGGTTTCCCTTTTGCAGCTCTGTTTCTGTAATGGGACGAAAAAGCTTTTGCAACAGGAGGTAGGCACTTCCTGAAATACTAAGGGCATGATGCCAAATTCCTTCGTTATTCATCTGATAACCCAAAGTTATAAATCACAGCAGCAGCCAGACCTCAGTTTGCAAATAAAAACCTACCAAACTGCATTGTGCAGAGTTGGACCACTGGTCCACCTAGCAGATACTAGTGAGAAATACCAGCAGTGGGTCTCTGAAGTTTTCAGCTGGATTCCTTCCTAGCCATGCCCGGATATGCCAAAGATTGAACCTGGAACTTTCTGCATGAAAAGCAAGTACTCTGCCACTGAACTAGAAATAGATCTCCTGCCATTTATGCCCCAATACATTTTTCCCCTTCATTATCTTTATATAACCTATAAATCCTATGAACAATCACAGAAGTCAAGTGAACGAAACTCCTCTGTATGAATCCTTAATAAAACATAAGAGAATCAAGGGCAGTCTGGAGCTTCCAGCAAGTGCTGGAAAGCTTGTGTGATATATAGGAACAGAATGTCCTCCTACCCACTGGATCCTTCTAAATAGGGTTCTCTCCCACTCTGGGATGAATAGGGCACACACCTCAAAGGTTATCTGAACAAACATCTCAGCTTTCTGGATGACACAGCAGGCTGATCCACTAACTAATAATTGTCTACTAGCAAAAGAGAAGGGATTTCAAATCTCTGTTTGGAAACAGCTGTTTGCTACTCAAGAGATGTGCTATATAGTAGCTTGTCAATGCAGTTTGTTCATCTATACAGGTTAACATTATGGGGAAATCTGTACCTCTTTAATGAAGAATCTGTCATCGACAAAACCCAAGAACAGAGCATAAATCAGTCATTCCACTTTGAAAAGGGGAAACTATGTTACCTATCAATGGACACATTGCAGTACAAAACTTTTGTGCAAATACTCTTATTCAGTGCACACACACACATTTTTGTTTTTGCACACAGGCATTTTAAAATGTGAAAACTCATCTCTAACCTATAACCTTTAACAGGATAATGGAATAAACACATAAAAAGGAATACTTATATGTATTCTTTCAGCACTATGTAGTTTCATATTCTAAATATAGTAAGAGTAGGGATGCTCTCCTGTGCTTGCCAGATTTCTTTCCCACACTCTGCCCTGGCCAGGAAGCAAACTAAGCTGAGTTCATGTCCACAAACACTTGGGAACACCGGCAGATTCTTTGTGCAACGTATCCCAAGTACAAAGTGTGCAAAGCCTGCAAGTCACGCATGTGGAAGAACTCCACTTGAACTTGCTTCCTGCAGGGCATACACACAAGCACTCAGCATGATGGGAAGACTTAGGGAAGAGGAAAAGCAGGTCAGAGTCCAGGGAGCCAAGCTGAGAAAATCTGACAAATTTCCACCCTCAAATCAGATTCCTCCACACACCAAAAGGGGTCTCTGTCTTTACCTCCCCTGCACCCCCAGCCTATAGTGATGGACAACTCATGAATCAAAACAATGAAGTAGAGCCCAGGAGATGGCATATAGCTGCAACCTCACCCAGCACTTCACAGTGCATTCAGTGCCCTGGTAAAAGTGCTTTTTAAAAAAGGAGAGGGATGCTAGTGACTCTAGCCAGTCCTACTGTTGTCCCAGCATGCCCGGCTGCAAGGCTCCTAGTGCACACTAAGTTTGCTTGTTTACACGGTGCAGTATGTGAACAACTTATATTAATCTACAATGCCAAAGCCTCGGATCTTTCCAATTTCAGTTTTGTATAGCATTTCTTTCCAGAATTCTATCCATCAAGGATATTAATTCCAGAGCTGCCTTCACCTCACAGAATTCTCCTGAGAAGCCTTGTGGACATAGACAACGGAATCCATTGACCAGGTTATCACAGCGACCTGCATTTTGACATGGGTTGCTCATGCATTCATCAATTTCTGTTTCACAGTTCTTTCCTGTAAAACCATGCGGGCATATGCAATGATATCCATTCACTTCATCCTAAAGAAAAAAAATGAGAGGAGTATTCATTTTCAGGGGGTGCTGCAAATTAACTTTTATGCACAGTAAAAGGACATCCTTCCACATATTGTTTTTAAAGACAGAAGCAAGGGATGGACCCAACAGTACTGGAAGATCTTGAATTCATTATCCTACAGCTTTAATCCAGACTCATGGGCACCACCTGATAATGTCTGGTTAACTACAGTTAAAAGGCTATGGATTAACATGAGGTTTATTATTCCAGGTTAATCTCTAGAGCTTTGTTTTTTAAAGGAAAAAAAAAAAAAAGGAACACATTTCCAACCATCTACTACAGAGCCTGATGTCATAGAGAAGCTGCATACCAGAGTAAGAAGATCAGCAGTTCAATGTTTGAATGTTTAGAATTCTTGGACAAATGCCATTTGGTACAACTACTTAATCAGTTTGCTCCAAAGCAAACTATGAACATTTCAGTGCGACAGTTCTTCCTGTTTGCCATCCAAAATTGCTTATATGGACTGCACTTCAGACACTCTACTTAAAACTTTCATTAAAAAAAAGGGGGGGGGGGGCGGTTGGCCACAATATTGCTCGCTAAGCCCAACTGCATAAGCAATGGGGAACATATGAAGCCAGACCTTCCCCAAGGTATGTTAGAACTCTTCTCTGAAGTTCTATTTTATATGTCTTACATATCTTACAACAAATATCTTGTATTTCAAGTCAATCAACAGCCTTCTTGTTTACAAAAATGATAAGGTGGACAGAGGAGAGTGAAGACCGTATTTCCACCCAATTTCTTTTTTCAGATGTAAGCCTCCTCCAAACTGATAGACACTTAACAACAAACCAATAAAAGAAATGCATTTTAATGAACTACTTGGACATAATCCAGAAAAGTTACAAACAGAGGGTCTTCCAATTTCATTAGAAGAGTTAATCATGTCCTTACATTCCTCCAACTGAAATTAAAGGAAGCTAAGTGCTCAGCTAAGCTAGCTCATGTCATGTGTATTTAGATTTCTTTTTTTCATTAACTAACAGTAGTCTCTCACCAGTGTAACTTTCATTCCCTTGAAACAGAATGAACAGTATACGCTGTTAGAAGGCCATCAAACACAGATTTACGTAGGCTTCCTGTATCCTTTAACCTACTATTAGCAATAAATAGGCAATTTAAATAAATTGTCATATTCAATTTGAGGTAATGCAAAGCTCAGGGGAAGAGCAGCTGAAATATTTTATGTTGCCTACAAGTACAGAGCCTATTGGCTATTCATGAGGAGCTACTTGTTTGTATATTGTCACAGGAACAGAAGATCGGGATAGGACTGGGTAAGAATTACCAAATTTGGTTATTAGTGATCTTTGCCTTGCAGTATTTGAATCTGAAGTGGTAGCTTAAAAACAAAACAAAGTAAAAAAAACAACAACTCAGTCTTACCTTACAAGTGCCTCCATTTTGACACTGCCCATGACAATCATTAATATCTAGGAATAAAACATGCAAAGCGTTAAAATAAAAGATTGGAAATGAAAAGACTGAACACTAATGAATAACATCCTTTCATTTCATATGCTCATCTGATGTTTTCTGGAGGAAAGGAAATACATGCTTTGAAAGAGTCGAAACAATCATTCCAGGCATTATGCAACAAGATGCTGTATGCAAGTTTTCCACAAGACAAGAGCTCCCAAGCTACTTTCAGTTAGTTCATTCCAAAAGCTAAGGCTTTAGATGCAAGGAAATATTTGCTAAAGAAGTCACCATACAGAGTTCTTTGGAAGGCTTAAAAGTTACATTTAGAAATGATTGGGAAGCCTTAAGTTAGCAATTAAGAACTATGTTCTGTTTTAGTCTAGAAATAAAACTCTTTTAGGGTCAAATGTATATACTCGAGATTAAATACTAACTGATGTGACAATTTACTCCTTTCCATCCTGGAATGCAGTCACAGTAATATCCACCAATAAGATTTTTGCAAGAATGAGCATTAAGACAACGTTTCCCTTCACACTCATTAGCATCTGTGAAAGAAGAGAAAGAAAAGCAGAGAGTAAAGAACAAACCCAGAAAGTCTGCCCTTGCACCAAAGCAAAGCTTTCATGCTTTCTAAATATCAGCTACATGTCATCTGCTATACTGATGCATGTTTGCTGATATTTTCAACATGCATGCCGTATCCTTTTCCCTAATAAAATGTTCAGATTTTTAAATCATACAAAAATTCATTGAACAGCTAAAGCAGAGGGAGGGAGTGAAAGCTGATCTTCACAAGTTACCTCACCATGTCTTTGAAGACTGGCAAGTTGCTTACCTGTAACTGTTGTTCTTTGAGTGGTAATCTGAGAATTTGCAGAGATGAACTCTGTGACTGTTCCCAGGGAGATTTAATACTACTGTTTTGGTAGACTCCCCCATGATTGCATCCATATAAAAGGAAGGGGCTCCTGCCATTTTCCTTAATTTCCAATGAGACCACCCAGTGACCTCTGGACCAAGGGAGGATCAGTTGTACTGACCCTACATTCAGCAAAGGAGTACCATTCCTGCATTTATGAGCAGAGCCATAAGGGATGGTACTAGGAGAAAACCAGTACTAATTTCACACTCAATAAAGTAGTATTATACCCACAAAAGGAAGGGAAAAACCAGGAAGACATAGACAAACATAGATCGCTACAATGCTCACAACACCCACTAGAGTAGACAGGTGGGTTGTGTGAATACACAGATGACCATTTGAAGAACAATAGTTACAGGTAAACAACTTGCCTTTCTTCTTTGTGGACTCTCTGCATCACACATATGGGTGCTTAGCAAGCTTACTCATACACGGCTAGTGGGGCAGTGTCATCATCTAAGTATTGCTGATAAGACTGCTCTCCTGAGAGCAGAGTTGGCTCTGGCTCAAACATTGAGATGATAATGCATGACAAAGGTGGATGGAGTCAACCATGTTGCAGCTTTGAAGAGGTCTGGGTAATGGGATGCCTGCATGCAAAGCTGCCATCACTAGGGTCATGTGTGCTTTAGGTCACACTAGGAGCTGCAGCCCAGATAGCTCGTATGTGTAATTGTTCATATGATGCAGCATGAAAGCCTCTGTGGCAAAGGAGGCTGACCCTTTGCCTTGCCTCCATAGCAAACAAAAAGTTTGGGGGATTAATGAAAAGACTCAGTTCTCAAGTGGCAGAATGCCAACACTCTGTGCACATACAGGGTAAGAAGAGTAGATGCTATAAGGCTGGACAGGGATGGGAAGAAAGCCAGTAAAATGTCATGGTTTAAATGAAATAGGGATACAACATTGGGTAGAAAGGAGGGATTCAGACAGAGTACTATCTTGTCATGATGGAAGACAAGGCATGGAGGATCCATCCGTAGGGCACAAAGCTGGCTAGCTCATCAAGCAGATATGTGTGCTATCAGTTCTGGAACATGACATAGAAGGAGGAAATGGCTGCTTGGTGGACTCTGATGGATCATCCCTTTAGGCAAGCTGAAATAAACTAGCTAGATACAGAAGAATCTCTTGGGATCAAATCTTACAAAGGCTTTCCACTTTGTCTTGTATGATTTCCTGGTGATCAGCTTCAGATACACGTTTAGGATGGGGTTCATTGCTTGTAGAGAAGAGACTGTACCTGTCCTGGTCCATGTAGTCAGGTAAAAGGTTTGAATGTCTGGATGAAGAATCACCTTGTGGGATCAGGTTTGGTATCAGTGGGAGCAGGATATAGTTCCCCTTGAAGAGGTTGAGGAACCAAGTGAACCAAGGCTGTCTTGGCCACCAGAGGGTGATCATGATGCAATCTGTTCAGGTTCTGATTTCATTTGCTCCTCTTGAATGCTGAGACTCCTCCTGCTGAGGGAGTCTCTAGGCTGTTGTCAGCCCCAGTGATGTGGATGGCTGTCAAGGTGATGCATCTGCTGATATACCAGTCTCAGATTTGAATGGTGAGGCATGGTAATGGAATTGCTCTTGCACTTCCCTGTTATAGAACACCATCGTGGTATAGAAACAGAGCAAGTCAGAAGGGGCATCCCGGGCCATCTAGTCTGACCTCTGGCTCCAGCATCTATCATTACCAGAAATGACAGCTTTGGAATCAGATATTCCAATGATATTCCCTTGGGGAGATTGGTATAATGGGTCCTCCAGGAGAGTCTGGAACAGACTATAGCAGACATCCAGAAATCCTTTTGAGGGTGGTGGACTGCTGGGATGAAGAAGTGGACAAACCACAGTTGCAGTGGCCACATCTGGAGTCTGGCCAAGGTACCTACAAAGTTGCTGTAGCGAGACCAAGAAGCCACTGAATCTGGAGCGCCGGCACTGCACATTGCTGCTTTAGCTTAGAGACCCTGGGAGATATGCTACCACTTTGATGGTGTTGATGCATGCCCCAATGAAAATGATAGGCTGGGAAGGGGGAAGAAGAGATTTTTCTGAGGTTATACAAAGGCCCAGTCTCTCCAATGGACTGCACGTGGAGTGAATCACTGCCACAAGCTCCAATCCAGCTGGTGCTACCAGCAACCAGTCATCCAGGTATGGATATACCTGGTCTTTCCATTGATGAAGCTGAGCACACACCATGGCCATACACTTTGTAAAAGTCTCAGGGGAAGTAGAAACTCCAGATGGTAGAATAGAAATTTGGGAAGTCTCTCTCCTGACTTGGGAAAAAAAAAATCTGTGGCAAGGTGCTAGAGATGTAGAAATAAGTATCCTTGAGGTCAACTGATGCAAACCATCCTCCCCATTAAAGGAGGACCAGAAAGCATTGTAACTTACAGAACTTTTTAGGAGAGATTAAAAAAGTTAAGATCTCTTAGGTCCAGGATTGAACAAAAGCTTCCATCCCGCTTTAGTAGGAACGAGGAACCCCCAGTAAGTAGAAGAGGCAGATTTCTGCTCAACTGCCCTCTTTGATAGGAGCAAGTGAATCTCTTCCATTAGTGAAGATGCAGGCATTGTGACCACAGTACCAATGGGCAGGAGTGCTTCAAATTCAATCCTGTACCCTCTCTGGATGATAGCCAGCACCAAAGTGTCTGATATGATTGTGTGCCACACAGGCAAGTGGGGAGAGAGATGGTCCTGAAAATCAAAATCAGAGGAGAGTGATATGGAGAGGCATGGACCAGCCCCTAGAGAAAGCCATCACATCCTTCCTTGTCCTTGTACGTCCACCTTTGGCCATGGCAGTACCAAATGTCACTGCATTTCCTCCTATTAAAAGGAGGTTGTTGTTGGCACAGTGTCGTGTCTGTTTTGAGACAGGGGAAAGAGAAACTTCCTTGCCCAAACCACTTATGCGGCCTAGTAGTGGGGGAGTGGAAGAACCCCATTGTCTTGTGGTTGTCTCTTTTGGATAGGATACTGTCTATGTGCTCATCCGTCTTTGCATTGAAAAGCCCATCCCATCAAAGGGTAGGTTGTTGATATATAGGCCGACCACCTTTGTGAGACCAGACAAGCGTAGCCATGCATGCCTCCTGAATGCCACCATGCTGATGGTGGGCCCACAGTCCTTGGGCCCACAGTCTACCTGATGCCCGGCAGTGTTGATCTGTATCCTTGAGAGGCACACTGCCTTATTCAGGAATACCCCGGTGCAGGCCCATTGTTCTCCTGGTAGATAGCTGCAGAGGAAACCCAGCTTCTCCCATCAGAACTGGTACCTTGCCATGGTGGCCTAGTAATCAGCTAGTTTTAGTCCCAGGGATATTGAGGTATAGATATGCTTTGCAATGGTATTCAGGCAGTGTCCTTCAACAGCTGATGGGGTGGCGGGCTGGCAATGCAAACTTCCTTGAGCTGATTCAACCACCACAGAGTTCGGCTTAGGGTGTTGGAAAAGGAAGGCCACATCCTTCTCCTGCATGTGGTACAGTCTCTCTCTCAAAGCTTTTAAATTTTGCCTTACCTTTCCAATATTTTGAAGCATCTTTTTCTTTCAAATCCTCATGATTTTTCTTTGCTTACCATTTTTTCTACTCTCCCTCCAAAAATTATATAGACACCAAACAAAGAAAGTCTCTCTGTCTCTGTGCCTAGCCATCTTCAAGTGTTCTTTTCTCCCTCTACTTGCCTTTCTACCTCTTAGCATCAAGCTCCATCCTGTAAATGTGTCCGCTGTGACACCAAGATGCTCTTGACTGATGGGTATTCTTTGTCTCTCCTATGCCTTGGCAAGGGACAGACTGTAGATCAATGCCCACATTGCCAGGTCTTTTCTAAGTAAGCCTGTAAGCAAAGGGCCTACTGTGTCAACACAGGATTGAACAAGTCCTTCGCATGGCTGAAGCCTTGGGCTAGCCTAAGTCTTCTTGACCATCTATGGTGTTCTCTCTGGCAGATCCATGCCATCTGCCACAACCACTGCTCCCTTGGTGACTCTCCTGGTGATGCCTTCACCAGCCCCAAATCTGGGGAAGATGGTGAAGCATAAAAAGGCCAAGAAGCTGGCCAAATGGGAAAAAGTACATTCCAAAGACCCTGTGGTACCGAAGTCTAAGTGGCACCAAATGGAGCCATGCCTGTTACTACCCACCATGGAACCGCCTGTGGGTGCTTCTTTTAAATTACTGGGGCCAGTACCAGTACCAAGACCTAAGCTCATCTCAACACTGGTGTCAGAGAGAGAGATTAGGAATGCACCATTAGGTACCAAGGTCTGCAGGGAATGTTCCCACCCAATTTATTTTTTAAGCCATTACTATACCATTTGATTAGCACAGCCTTCTCAGAAAGGAGAATTTCTGACTGGGACAGGCATTTGGTTTCACAGGTACTGCAACTGTACCAGGGCTTCTTTGATCTGTGGGGTCTGTACCATCAAGGACCCAAGTGTGATCCCTTGTATGGCATGGTGTACTGCCCTGGTATTTTTGGGGAGTGTGAATAAATCGCTGAAATGCCACTGCTCTGTCTCTTGATATCTTCCTGGCCTGTTTCTTCAGCCCAAGAGCTCTTCTGTGCCACAGAACTGCCTGCGCCTCCTGCACCAGCCTTCAGCTTAACCATTCCTGTACCAACTCTCTCCAACACATCTTCACTGATGGATGTTGAGGATTAGAACAGGAACAGGAGGGAACAGGAAAGAACTTCCTGAGGAAATGGAGGCAGTTGAAAAACTGACAGAAAATGGTGGGAACCCTTCTCTTTTATAGACGCAGGGTAGAGGAAGAGTTGCCACCAAAATGCTTTTAGCTATTAAATCTACCTGGTAACAAGCTCCACATAGATGCAGTGCCCATACGTGTGTGCACAGAGACAACAAATAAGAAAGTGAACAATTTTAGTTAAGGGGGACTGTGAAAAGCAGAGGGTATTTTTGCAGTACCAATTTTCCAACTGGCAGTATAATTGTGAATTAAGTAGAACACATATCCAGCATGGAGAACCTCTAGGAACAAAAGAGGCAAGAAATGCAGCATTCAAAGGAATGGATAGGTTCCTCCATATTCTCTACAACATATTGCAATATATGGATATGCAGCCAGAAATCTCTCATGCTGGAGTTCAGCCAATCTGGTTATCATGTTTAGGCCAAATGGCCTATGCTTGTTACCTCACTAATTGGTTTTCCCTACTGTCATTGCCCATTCCTCCAGCACAAAGAGTATCAAGCATTTACCCTCACATTTGATTCATCCTTGTATGAGTCTGAAAAGTAACACAAATAAAGCCTACCCATGCACCTGCAGATTTAGTTCAGATGCTTCCCTGAGACATGCATATACCAGAGAGAAGATATAGGGGTAAAATAAGGTGCAGGAATAGGGGTGAAACCAATGACAACACAGTGAGCCAAAACATAGTGCATAGTACCTTAAAAATGCAAGCATATGCTAATTTTAGCAACCACAGAATTAAAACCACCACTTTCATGCCCAAAACACCTTCATTCACACTTCTAGCTTGCATCAAGGCAGGGAAGAATACTTCAGAGTGTTTAACACTGCCTGCATATAATACATAGCACCTGCAGACAGAGGTAACTTATATGCTCCCAATCTTCCCACTGAGGAAGTAGCAGCAAAAATATTAAAGGAACCTTTAATACAAGGTAATTGTAACACTGTCAAAATAATGAATGTATTTTTCCCAAAGTTATTTTTCAAGACAAGGCATGTTCAAGAGTTAAGACTTACCAAGCTGGCAGGTTGCCCCATTCCACTGCTGTGGGCATATACATTCATACCCAGCAACACGATCAACACAAGTTCCACCTCTAGCACAAGGGTTGGATGCACATTCATCAATATCTAGGAAGGGAAATAGTGGTCTGAGACAGTTTTAGAACTACATAGGCATCACATAGATTTCACAGCAGAAAGGGGTCTAACTTTATCTCTAGAAGTGTGATGGAAAACCTGTTACCCTCATGATATTTTGCACTATTCATTCCCTTCAAATCCAAGCAACATAGCCAGCAGCCCAAAAAGATGGGAGTTACAGTCAAAATGTCTGGATAAGTACAGATTCACCAACCCTGCACTAGAGAAAGACAGTCCAACCTACAGACAGCTTTGAAAACCATCAACTTAGTCTCTGATAGCCTTGTATCTCTTATGTTCGAGGATCAGAAAGAGATCAGTTTGATTTGATTTACACATGCCAGAACATTTCCACATTTAGTAACAGGTAGATATATGTATTAATTAAACCTTCCATGATTTTAAGCACAGGCGTTCCAAAAGTGTGCGTTAGAAGAAGTTGCCCTCTTCTAACTCTTATTCAGTAACATAAATGCCTTTTCACAATCTGCATTTGATATTAACCTGCATGTTTTAGGGTTGTTTCCATTTTTTATTTACCAAAGGCCTTCCATAATCATTAATATTAGCACATTAACACCTAAAATTCCATTAAGTGATTTAGCTGAACTTCATAACCTTTTCTTAAGATTTCAAGTGCTGAAGTGATTGTTCATCTGTTTCATCAACAAGATATAAGTCACACTACTTATGACCCAAGCTGTACCTACCATTAGCACATGTTGGTCCATTCCATCCTTTGGGGCACTGGCATTTAAAGCCTGATGAAGTTTCATGACATGTTCCACCATTAGCACAAGGATTTGATACACAAGCATGCTCAGCTAATGAGAAAAGGAAGAATAGCACCTGAATCTAGGTTTCAACATAGTTCTTTTTCAGTAAGCAAAGACACGCCCCCCAGCTAGTTTTAGACCCACATTTCTTTGTTTCTGTGGAAGAATAGAGAGGACTGCCAGATTCTGAAAGCTTATCTGCTCTTGTATAAATTACTGCTCAGATGCTTGTCTCATGCAACATAGAAGTCTCATTTAAACCTAATTCATAGCCATGGATTGATGTTACATGAATAAGCCACAAGAAGCTCAAGCTTATGTACTTCCAACAGAGTGCTTCTTTTCCACTCATAAGCAGCAATTCCTTCCTTCTGAATTTTGTCTGGATAAGCAGCACATTATGGTTTGCTGCATGCAAGAACTAGTAGTTGGAAATGTCTAAGTTCCAGCTAGGGCCATGTGGGAAGATAATGGAGATGGGTCTGAACTTCTTCATGACTTGTTCAAGTCTCAGTGAGCCCATGGCCTCTTCACTTTGCAAGGCCTATAATATGAACAGCAATTAAGCTGTGTTTCAATTTAGTCAGCAAGGGTGTCAAGTATTGGAAAACTCCTGTTTCCTTTAATCTTGAAGATGTATCGCAGAAATAAGATATGTCTGTGTATTTGCTTTACAGGAGTAGAAGCACTATTTGTACAACTTTGCAGTTACTATCCATCTTGGAAAGGCTGCCTCTTCTCAAGACCATTAAAAACTTTCAGTCCCAAATGCACAACTCTATTCTTCCAGATAAAATGTCTCAATTAGAAAAAGCATGCTATTGTTGTCAGTACCAATTTCACAGTTCTTTCCAGAGTAACCATCTTGGCAAGCACAGCTGTATTCATCTGGTTCTGTATTCATACAGGTTCCACCATTCACACATGGATGATGATTTCCACAGTAGTTTAGATCTGGATGGAGAAAGGATAGAGAAAATCAGCATGCAAAAGAAGATTTAGAATTACTGTATGGAATCGCTCAGAACAGATGGCAAGCAAAATGAATGTCTAGCTTTAATGCAGGTACACTCACAGATACTATCTCCCTTTTAATGCATCTTACTTCCTATCAGTCAAGAGATACCCGACCATCTTACTAGTGCCCATGAAAATTGGGACAATCTCATAGGGATCAATGCATCAAGCCTTTGCACAGTAGGCTTACATGCTTCAAACTCACCTGCTGCACTGAAGCAACCAGGCAAGTGGCACCAAAGACTAATGTTCTGTAGTAAACATATATTTACATAAACAGCAGCTATCAGGTGGCCAGTTAGTAAATTTTTTAAAAAAATCTATGAATGGATGTTTGGTACCTTTGTTGCAGAGCAGACCACCCCAGTTGGTTTCACATTTGCACTCCCATGGGATGTTGCAACTCCCATGAGCACAGCCTGGGTAGGGGACACATTCATCACAGAACTGTCCCTGCCAACCATAATTACACCTAGACATAAAGATATGCAAAATGTTAGCAACACAATGCTTAATTATCTATAACACACATTCTGAGCACTATAATTGTTATTCACAGCAGGCTAATTATTCAGCATGTAACAGAATATTGGAGGATTCATGTTATTTCCTAAAATGTGTGCATTGTTGTGTGCTAGTCATACTTAGTATAAGTTCTTCCAACAATCTGGTAAATCCCAAGAGACTAAGATTCCTGTTAAGACATCACCCATTTTTATAATTGTCATATAGGAGATAAATAAAGGTAAGATTCACAGCAATGAAAAATCTCACTTTTAAAAACTGAAATACACAGGTATGCTTATTTGTATCAGGGTGAGCAGAGAAAGGCTGAGGAATGTATTCTCAAACATTATTTTTTTTATTTTATTATTTATTAAAACATTTTTTATGCCGCCCCATTCGCCGAAGCCTCGGGACGGCTTACAACAATAAATTAATATAAACATTAAAAATCCAAAAAATACAATATAAAATAAGCCGCCCTGGCCAGATAAAATCAGTTAATACTAACAGTTAAAATACCGCTTTTATTTTTTTTATTTATTATATTTTATTATTAATGTTTTAGGCCCAAAGATGCTTAAGGATGCAAAGCTCTTATCAATTTTAAGTTGCCATCTTACAGATAGATATGCTGCTCAACTCCCTTTTCAATGGAATCTGAACAGTCTATGTAAGGATTGCTCTAATCTTTGGCACACTTATCCCTCAATAAACCACACTGATTTCAGCGGTGACTAGTTCCAGGTATACATGCATAGAACTGTAGAAGTAAGAACGGAACTGTAGCCATAATTTAAAGTCACAGTAGCTTCCCTGCTTCCCAGTTTCCCTGCTTACAATAAACTTGAGACAATAACAAGCAAGGGTTAGACTAGGGAAACTGGTATCTTCCAGATGTTTTGAACTTTGGACTATAGCTCCCATAATTACTGACAACTGACCATTTCAGTAGGGCTTTATGGGATTTGGAGCACCAGGCTGCCTACCCTGATCCAGGTAATTCTTTGTTTTAATATTACAATTATTTTCCACCCCCACCCACCCCAAGAGCTCAAAGCACACAACAATGCTTCTGTAACACATAACACAAAATAAATCATCCAATGCTTATTTAGCAGTATCAAGTAAAAGCTGTCAACAAAGAGTGGTCTGGTAACATTTCTAGAAAATGTACAGGTTTGCTTTCCTGCAAAGCTACATCATACATAATGTTGCAGCAGAGCTAACACAGATAATGCTTTATTATATGCTTGCCTTCTGGATAATGCATAGAAGTTATGCACTAAGAAATTCTGACAAGATTTAGGAGAGATATTAAACATATGGGTTAAATGTTTTTTAAGAATATTAACCCTTTGAACTAATCCAAGGATGCCCCAAATTGCCAGGGCAATCCTCAGCACAGTGAACTTCTGGAAACAGAATTCAGCCTTCGTACCAATATTTTATCACATGCTATTAGTATATGATAAAATGATAAAATATATTTATGCTGTTGGAAAAAGCATACAAGTTCAAGGTCCTCCAGTTATCTCTATTATATTGGCATACAAGGCAAAGACAAACAGTTTTGCTTCTATGTGCAAGTAAGAATATTTTATAGAACTTCACACGGTAAAGAATTTATCACCTTGTTCGTTCTCAACCATTATTGTGCAGGGCAACCACTAAATATTCTAGTCTGGTGATGAGAGATGGCAGCTCAAGGCCATCTAACTTGTTCAATGCCTATGACAATATTCTTTCACAATATTTACCCCCACGTCCAGGGCTCCAGGGCAGCATCCTGTTTCCAACAGTGATCAGCCAGATTAATGGCCTGCTTTTATTTCAAGACTAATCCCAAAGACAGCTGCATTAGTGGTACACAGATGTGTTTATGGAAAGCTTATCTTGTTTCTGACAGTTGATGACATGGCTTCTGTTCTAGACTATTCCCTCTAGAGCAGGGATGGGGCACATTTTTCATCCTGAAGATTGAATTCCAGTACAGGAAAGCTCTCAGGGAATCAAATTCCAACTTTGGGTAGGGTCAAAATATGGTTGCTGCTATGGTTTAGCCTACTCAAAAATGTGTATGGTTTCTGCATACCTAGTCAGAAATATGCAAGTCTGAATCACTGGGCAATACTTTCAAGAACAACCCAAATACCAAGTCTCTGCCTGTCTACCAGAAACATGAGCAGCATGTCTACTCATAAGTAACCAAGGTAAGCCTCCACAGGTCAGTTCATTACTAAGCAGGGCCCAATACACAGCAGCTTCTTCCCTTAGAGCCCCCTTTGACTGCAAGGAAACATCTTCAATTAGCAGTTGACTGAAAATAGGTGCCTTTCCCCTTTGTACAAAGGCTCCCTTTCTTAATGAGGGGGAAAGGAGATTCAGATTTACCTATATGGATTTATTATTTGGTGCTTTTCAGCCAAAGTTCTCTGCATTTATAAATGCTTCCCTTAAGCATATAATTCGGGTATAGAGGCACATAGCCTTCTTCCATCATCTTTATCTTGCCAGTTATTCTCGCTAAATATGAACATTAGCTGTGTGTTCACACAGATACACTTTGAAAGGTTTACCAGTTTTATTTACAGTGCAAATTGAAGAAGTATCATATTCTTGGCTAGAGTATAAAGAATACTTAACACTGTTATGGTGGAAATGGTCTCTGATTTGGTGTTGAGAACTTCCAGGATATTGCATTTAATGCATTTAAAAGGTCACACTTTGGACCTGACTTCCTTGAATGGGCAGCAGAATGGTGATCTGAAAACTGGGGGACTAATATCTACCCCTTTGTCCCGGTCAAGTCACTTCTGAGGGACTTTCTGACTGGCATAGTAGGGTGCTCCTGTTGAAGCTCATGCTGCCTGTGGAATATGGAGATGACCTGGGCAGTTGACATGATTGCCCTCAACCACCCTCTTCACTGCAGAACCCAAATGGCTCCTTGGCATACACTGAAGATGATGAAGCAAAAAGACAGCTAGAGCTTGCATGGAGGAAAACGTGAAACAAATCAGGCCAAACAAGCTTATTTCTCATTACTGAGCCTATTCTGTGGTGGTGAAAACGGTGAGGAAGCATTTTATTACCACTGGGACTTTATCCTCACAGTGCTGTCCAATGGAACTTTTCCAGTTGGTTTCACGCCTTTCACATCCTGGCCCAAAAGGTGATCTGACTGAACCCTCAGAGGGCCACTGTGACAAATTTGTATGACACTTTGAGGATGATGTTTCTCAGATCAGTAACGACTTGGACGCCACTGTTATACCATTTCTATGGGTGGAAGTGTCCAGAGTACCATCTGTTCCCATTCTACTGGATGAGTTTCAGCTATTGCAGCCTGAGGATGTGGACAGGATGCTTGGTTCTGTCAGACCTGCGACTTGCTTGCTCAATCTTTCCCCTTCCGGTCAAAATCATGCTTGGGTCCAGGAGGCTGCCAACGCCTTTTTAAGAGAGGGAGTGGTGCCACTTGCTTCACATGCTGCTGTGACTGTACCACTCCTGAAAAACTTGACCCAGCTGATGTAAATAATTAGAGGCTTATAGCCCACATCCCCCTATTTGGGCAAGGCGATTGAGTGGGTTGTGACCAGACAGCTTCAAGTTCTCCTGGAAGAAATGGAGTATCTGGCTCCATTTTTATCAGGTTTCAGGCCTGGCTTTGGAATGGAAATTGCTTTGGTCGTCCTGTGAGATGTCTTTTGCTGGGAGAGAAACAAGGTCAATGCGACACTGCTGATTCTCTTGCACCTCTCCAGCTTTCGTTGCCATTGACCATAGTATCCTTCTGGAGAGGTTGGCTGGACTGGGAGTTGAGGGCCCTGCTCTGTGGTGGTTCTGTTCCTATCTGGCTGACTGTCTCCAGATAGTGGTATTGCAGGACTATCACTCTGTGCCATGGCCTTTTGTCCCCCATTGTTTTCAACATCTGCATGAAATTGCTGGGATAGGTGATCCACAGGTTTGGGCTGAGCTCAACTCTCATTTTCATCTAATCCAGATGAGGCAGTGACCTTTCTTAAACAGTGCCTGGGCTTAGTGACAGACTGGATGGGGGCCAACAAGCTGAATGCAATCCAGCCAGGGGGGAGGTTCTGTTGGTGGGAAGTTTGTCCATCCAACTGTGGAATTTTCAACCTGTCCTGCATGGTTTCTGTGTTCCCCCTTAAGGACAAAAGTACTCAGCCTTAGAGTGCTCCTGGATCCTGAGTTGTCACTTGTCTCTCAGGTGGACTTGGTAGCCAAGAGCACTTTTTACCAGCTTAGGTTAGTCTATCAACTATGTCCCTAGCTGGATGAGCCGAGTCTTGCTACAGTTATCCATGCACTAATAACCTTGCAGCTGGATTAGTGTAATGCACTCTATGTGGGGCTGCCTTTGAAAACAGTCCAGACATTCCAAAATTGGGCAGTGTGCCTGCTGGCCAAAACTGGCTTTTGTGAGCATATCACACCAATCCTTTTCAGGCTACACTGGCTGCTGTCTGGGCCAATTCAAAGTATTTATAGTAAATAAATCTCTAAATGGCTTGGGCCAGTATAACTGAGGGAAAGCCTGTCTCCATATGTCCTGGCCCAACCATAGAGATCTTCATTGGAGGGCCTCCTTTGAATACCTCCCTGCAATGAAGTAAGGAGGGATATGGTGAGAAGGGCCTTTCCTGGAATAGGGCTTCACCTGTGGAACACCATTCTGATTGAGATCTACCAGGCATCTTCCCTTTTATTTATTTAGAAAATTTCTATGCCGCCCCATTCACCGAAGCCTCGGGGCGGCTCACAAACGTTTAAGCATTGACCGAAAACATTTTTTTTCCATAACTATTTTGGTGGGTAAATGGAATTGGTTTAATTAAAAATGGCTATTTTATAGGTTTTATTGATACAACTGCCATGTTAAAATAAAATAAATTTTAGTTTCCACTTTTATTCACAGGATTCTTTTTAAAATTGATT